ATTAAAATCTATTCAAACAAAAAAAAAAAAAAAAACAAAAAAACAAAAACATAAAAACGGCCTTATGTATTCTAAAACAATAAACGAAAAACAAATATGACAGAAAAGAATCATTAAAAATCACTGACAAACATGTAGTCTAATAATATACACTACTGGAACAATGCCCCGTAGATTGGCCGTGAAAATGTCCGTAAAAATGCTGGTGATTTTTACAGTGTTTGTCACGGTTAATTTACGGTGGGCCGTGAAACTTATCCGTGACAATGCCGTGGAATGACTGTTGTGAAAAGGCTGTGAAAAGTTTGTGAAAAGGCCGTGAAGAGGTGCCACCTGAAAACTTTGGTGAAAAGACCGTAGAAAACCTGTGAAAAAAAAATGTACACCGTGAAAAAGTCGTGATAATGCATTATGTGCCCATTGTGAAAAGACCGTGAAATGTAGATATAGTACAGTATATGCCTTTATTTGTCGTGAAAAGGCCGTGAAAAGGTACCAACTGAAAACTTGGGTAAAGAGACCGTAGAAACCTTGTGAAAAACAAAAATGTACACCGTGAAAAAGTCGTGATAAATTATGTGCCCATTGTGAAAAGAACGTGGAATGTACATGTACTACTGTGATAAACAGCCATTCACTGATTGTGAAAACTCCTGTTAAATGTTAAATGTATTTTTTAGGTCATAATTTAACAAAAAATTTAAATGCTGTTTCAATCAAGTGAAGTGAAATGCCTGAAAACCTAGTGTAAACATCTACAGACAACTTATTTAAGTACAATGCTAGTGAGACTATGAAAAACCATATTAAAATGCTGTATTTTTTTAGTAATAATTGTGACAAAGAATAAAAATATTAATTTTAATAGAACTGTAGTAATTATGTAAAGAAAACATAAAAGCACACAAATGTCAATGTGATTAAGAAGCTAAAGTCAGCTGTAACATGTATTGTAGAAATTTTGTATATCTCTTGGGTTTGATTTTACAACCTCAGCAATATTTGTCTAATGTAATCCTTCACTTCACTGCCCTTTTGAATAACTATTCCAGAAAAACATTTATAGAAGTTCCTGTTAATTCCCAGGAAATACTTTTAACTGAAAAGCTCTTCTTTCCAACTGGATTTCTGAACTATTTTATATAAAGACTGCTATATCCTTTTGCTCTTCATTCCTAGAATAAATAAAGAAAAATTACATATATTATACATGTATATAAAAAAACTATTTATATATTCAAATTAATTTTTGGCATTTATGTACATACATGTACTTAAAACAGCTACAATATTATTCCATGCAATACAGGACTTCACGGTTAATGACCCCATATTGAATAGGGGGCAGATTTTCATACTGGAGGTGAAAATGGTATGAAAAATACTAAAAAACATTATTGAAACAGAACAGCCACTTGGAAACATGCATAGGGTTTCCCATATTTTCATACCATTTTCCAGAAAATTTGCCCCCTATCCAATATGGCATCATTAGTTAACGAAGTTCTGTATTGTCAACTTATATTATTTTTTTTTGATTTTTTTAAAGACTAAAGACACTTTTAAGACAGACTATTAAATTTAAATGTTTCTTTGAAGTAATAATATGTATGGCTAAAGCCAAACTTGTCTAGACTTAGTGGCCGTAATGAGTCACAGCTAATTTTTTTTACAGGGGGCCAGCTGGGGCGTAGCAACTTTTACTGCAGGCACATTTGCCATACCAATTATTTTTTAAACACCTCATTGCCATACCAATTATTCTTATGATATGGCACAAACCCTTCTAGAAAGGACATTTTGCCGTACAAATATTAAATACTTTCCCTGCTACGCCTCTGATTAATCCCTTTTGAACTCTGTGTCCCGACGGCCAAGTCAGAAAATACTCAAATAGCTCCCGACACATTCAAAGGTTACGCCTCTGATTATCAGAGTGAACTCCATTTCAGAGATACTTATTGCTATTATAATCATTTCCAATTATCTATGTCTATGTCTACGTAGTATACTGTACATAAATGTCAAATTTTTTTACGTGGCCAGTGTGGGGGAAAAGGACCCCCCCCCCTTTTTTTCCCCAAATACATAAACAAAACAAAACCGTAATCGTATTTAAAGGATCCGGTAAGTCTTAGAAAACATTAACCGAAATGATTAAAGGAATCAGGTGCAACAGACTCAAATATAAGTGAATATATCACATGCATGTTTGCACGGTTTCTGCAAATTCAGTGAAAATCAGTTCAATAGAAATGCTCACAAACGTCATCAACATTTTGGTGATATGATGCATAAAATAATAAAATATTAATAACTTAACTTACCTCAAACTTGCTGTCACTCGTCTTGCATCTATAAAGTAAATATTAATCGACCTTCGGCGTCTGATATTCCGGGAAGTTCTCGTTTTCACATGTTTCGGTTCCAATATTAAAATTAATGTTTACATTGTTTATAATAATGTACAGACGAGAAGCAAAATACTTTTCTTTAAATACAAAATATTTATTGGCACAAAGTCATTAATTATAACAATGAATGGTTCCATTTAAAAGTCAGTCCTGTACAGTAGTATTGCATATAATAATATTTAAACAGACATATATATTTATAATGAAAAGTTTATAGGATATTTAGAAAAATGTGAGTGGAAATAATTAGACCATATTACAATAATCACATGGGATGTTTTAAATCTGAATAAGGATAAGAAAAAATTGACATGAAAAAATATCACGGCCTTTTTACTGGTTTTAACAACCATTGAAAAGGCCGTGATATTTTTTATTAAGCATGAAAGGACAAATTATCACGGCCTTTTCACGGGATATTGAAATTTCACGGTCTTTTTCTAACATCAAATATTTTTCACGGCCTTTAGAAATATTTTTTTTACAAAAGTCACAGGGTATTTTCACGGGGTTTTCACGGCCCTGTGATATTTCACAGACATTTCACAGCCTTTTCATGGGCTGTTGTTACAGTAGTGTATAGTGCTTTATCACGCTCATCTTTATTACATTGCTATATGAGTAAGTTGACTAGTTGATGATGTTGACATTCATATGATATTTCGTACTGTGTAATACTCCAGAATAGAAAACACTATATTGTTACAACATACCAAAATGTCATCCTCCATATTTAATACATTGTTATATTTTCGAAAGAAGACTAAGGGCTGCCTACACAATACTTTACAATATTACTGGCTGTTGTATGATTGATCTAACTGTAGCAAGTTCTATGAACATCTAAAAAATTAAGGTAATTGAATGACAGTATTATACTATAAGTGTATGTGAAACTACCCTGAGTGATGACACGAAACCTTAAGGTGGTAAAAGTTTTTCTAAATGTCTTGGACTGACATTACCGTGCAGTTTGGCAACAATTGTAAAAGATCGTTAACTTTATAATAACTCTCACCCGAATCATCAACTGAAATTAGCGATAATTTGCTTTCACAGGGTGTACTATGTACATGGTCAACTACAAGTACATATCATAAAAAAGCAATCCTTATAAGTGTGGAGGTGTTTTGGTGACGGAGTCGTCATAAAGTAGAAGCGTTTAGAAGATTTCAAAAGACTTCAATAGTTTAAAAATTGCCTTAATTTCATTCTTATGAAGAAATTGTGAAATATAAATGCAGGTATAGTATGCTTAAGTGTAAATAATTACAAACAAACCGACCAAGTATATCGTAGAAACGATCTCATATGCTGAGGAATAACTTGCTACGTCGAACGGAAGATTAGCTGAACAAACGGAGACAATGACAATGTCTTCCAATGTCGTGAGGCATGTGGAAAGGGGGTGACAATAACGAAAAATCCCCTTACGATTAACCTTGTGTTACCAGTAGCTTTGTAGTCTACTGAGGGTAGTTTCTTGAAGTCAATTAATAATTTACACCAAGGTGTATGAAACCTGTTTGAATGATGACATGTTACCGTCTAATGAAAAATATTCTATGTATATTCAATTACCATGTTTATGTGATATAAATATGTCCTGCATCAACATAGGAGGACATTTGTCTATTGCATTAACATTTCATCCTAAATATGCATGTTATATTTGTCACTTGGCGGTAAGAAGTCGGTAATTAATCAATAATTTACCACAGATAAACTCCTATCATTTATAGGCTACAGATTGAATTTTCACTATGTTTTGAGTTATCAAGGCTTGATGTCGTGACCTATATATCATAGCTTGCTTTGTGGTATGAGTTTGTTTTATTGTTAAAAGTCGTACGGTGACCTATAGTTGATTAGTTCTACGATATTAGGTCTCTAGTGGACAGTTTTCTCATTGGCAATTATACCATGTCTTCTTAGTTTTTATACACTGTATTTTACTCATCAGAACGACATTTATTTTCTTAAGAAACACATTAAATGCAAATTCGTAATGAATTTTCTTATTTTAGTTTGTTTGTTCAGCATTGTATTGAAATATTGAAACGTCTGTAGACGATAATATCGTATATATCGGAAATTAGTTGACCTTAGTGGATGTCCCATATAAGATGTCATGTTTCAATCATTCCGATAATGGCACATTAGAGTGTAAAAATAACTAAAGTATATCCCTCTATCTTTAATATTGCATTTCAAGTGTTATTCTATAGATACGATATTATAATACATAATCATTATAACCTGTATCCTAATTATAAATGCCCATCTCTCTTTTCTTCAAATTGGGTGCATTTATACAAAAATGTAAGACAGACATTCTGAACCTTTATCAGTAATAGCGGCAGTTCGGCTATGTAACTATTACCTTATACAATTAAATTGACTTTGGTTATGAATGTCCTTTAAATGCTAAATTGTACAACCATAAATTCAGCAAAAGTAGATCACATTATCTAAGTCTCTAAACTCCTTGTAATCTACTTGTATTTTAAAGTGTTACCTTTTTTTCTGGTTTAAAAGATAAGTTAGGAGCTTTTTTCGCAATTATTCATAAAAAAAATTAGTCAGTTTATCAATAATCAAATTAATTTATTCAATTTTGACCTCATTTTGAAGGATTCTAAATGTTGCCAAACCTACCCAGACTTAATCTGTTAAATTGCAATATTCAACATGAAAATACATACAACACAATAATTAAAAAACTACAATTAATTACAAGTACATATCTGAAAATTATGATTTGAAATATATAATCATCATTAAGATACATCAGTATGTCAAATTAGATTAAATCATGTAAACAAATAAAATTGATAACAGAATCACTGATAAGATAAAACATAGTTAAATGTGCAATTGGTATAAGTAAAAGTGGTCTGTGTAAGTTATTAATCCGCTTCTCACTGCATTACACTCCATGTAGATCTTTCATCTTTATCTGTTCGCCTTTGTGGGACTCTTGTTTTGGAAGTAGATTGAAATCCTCAAGCTTAGAACCTTCGTGTAAAATGCGTAATAGATACGACTCATCTGTAATGACCTTTTCGTGGAAAATTCTTATCGGTACTGATCCTATAAAATCTAATGTGTTTCCCTTTTCAATAAAGACCTTGAAAAAAGACCCACCATGACCAGCTTTGTCTCTAGACAGCCAATACTTAGAGTCACCTATTCTCTTGAATTGCCTTCCATCATCATGCTTTTTGGTCATTTTTGATGTCTTTCTAAATTTATTCCACACGTAATCGTCGTCATCACCTCCTACAAATGTAGAGATATGAAGTTGAGTTTTAAAGAATGAGGATTATAAGGATATTTATAAAACCGATCTTAATCATATCCACACCCACATATTTCTGATAATTTTAGAATATAGAATCTAGACATTTGTTCTTTCGCATCTTATTCATAAACCACTTACTGAAAGTTTTGTCATCTACTACAATGCCTTTTCGTTGCTAGTCAATTGAACGTCTTGCAAATAGCTAAAATACCTTTGAAACCTATACAGATACAATCTTTCGGCAGCTATATTAAATTGATCTAAGTTCTTTTCAAAATTTATTTGACTATTTTCCCATGCGCATGAATCAACGCAAAATCATCATAATCTGTCAAATTTTTAAGCTAATCTGGAAACAAATGTATCTTGCCACTATGCATGCCCTATATGTACTCTCCCTTAACTTTCAAACGAAAAAAAAAACAACCCCGGTAACAAATCAATTCAACGACAGCTCGGACTGCATATAGAAACAACTTGGACAATCTATGATGACAACTTGGACCGTCATACATTTCTTTTCTATTATTTGAACTGGTACCATTTGTGATTTGAGTCAACTAAGTCCATTCAGCATTTTACAAGAACTAACCCAATACGGTAGCGTATAATAATCTATAAAAGGCTTCGGTTTGGTAAAAGTTTAAATAATTCAAGCAAAAAACCCAGCAGCCTTATTAATGCTGAAAATTCAACAACAAAAACTGTAAGTAGCTGTATTAATAGCAATAGGCAGATAACAATAAACTACAACCACATAATTCAGGGCTAGAACACATAAACTGTCATACATAATGTAACAGAATTTAACATGTCAGTGGTTGCTTAAAAGGCCATACTTTGTGCTGATTAAATTGTAGAGGATACACTTCAGATGTTCAGATGCATGAAATCAATTATATGGTAAGGAATACTCAGTAGATAACAGACGCTGTCTCTGATACCAATTCAAGTACAACTAAGTAACTAAATGTATCCGTTTTGTTTTTACCATCATTGCCTCCTCCATTTCCTCCTCCGCCGCCTCTATTTCCACCACCATTACTACCAACTTTACCTTGCCTAGCACCGACAACCCTGTTGGATGATGAGTATCCACTAGCGGCATTTTTTTCAGAAATGGTGACTTTGGAAAACTGTGATTCTACGGAAGAAGTCGCTTCACCTTAAAAATTAGCAATAACTTTTATTTACATTAGATCCCGAATAGAAGAGAAAACAAAAAAAATTAAAAACATTTATATCATAATGATCTCAAAATAACAATAAATGATAGATAACTAGAATAAAAATATAATACAATTAAGGTGCATCGTATGGTATTGACAAATTTGTCCGTGTGTACACCACACACATATTCCGAGTACAAAAGAATGTATAATTATGCTACTTAGAGAACAATCTGCATACATGAAACTATATATCTTACAGGTTGGGGGTCGTGCTTTTTCTGACAACCTGGCAAATTTCCTTCTTTAGTAATAATGCTGTAAAATGATGACCATGAATATCTTATAGTCATGACCGACTGTGATTCAGTTTAACTGGTTCATTTATTTTGTAATTTTCTTCAGACTTTTATACATATAGATTCTAACATTGGATTTATAAAATTGAGATAGTTTAATTATCTAATTTTTAAGTCCGAGCCTCGTCGGTGACGTTAACATTAGATAATTTACCCATCAAGATTGGATAAATCCTATAATCCATGAGTAACAATGTAAGAATATGTTTCTCTAATGATCATATCAAATAAATTTTCATAATTGGTAAATCAATTCCCATTCGAGTTCCTTAACATTCCTCATTTCTACGTCATACAAAATTGATGCGGAAACACTTCATTTATGCATATCTAGATCAAATGGAGAAAAAAAATGATAAAAAACGCTTTAATTTCCCTGTAGTAAAAGATCAATTTTTCTAACAGGTCCTTCGAGCTGATAAAATTTATTACCTTTTATCTTTACCAATCATCTACTCAGATAATCAGCAACTAAACCTTGATTATTTATTTTTAAACAATAGGTTCAAAAAGGGTTAAATTGCCAAAGAATTAGAGAAATATAAATGTATATATATATTGAGGATTGTCACTTTCAATTGGTACTAAGAATTAAAATGTTTGGGAATCAATTCTTATTAATGATTAGGCAAAACTTTAGTGACAGAATTATACGGTTTGTTTTTTGCACTTCTGCAATCACCAACACAGCAAAAAATGTCAAAATTGAGAGACTTACCATGATTACGTTGACCAGTAGATGTATCAGATTTGTAAAAATCTGAAACAACACATTTTTCAAATTCAGCAAAGTTTCCCCATTGAACAAGTATTGGGTTTAACTCTTTTGCTGTCTGAAAGCGCATCTTTGCCTCGGGTATATTCTTGTTGATAATATTGCATCTGCTTATTCCAAGATGAGCAATGGTAAATGTGTTGCATGAAGTAACAGCCGTATTGTAGTAAGGTTCTGCGTTTGGTACTTGATGTTTTGTATAATAAATGTCGCCGACATGTTGGTTTGACCAATAATACCATGGCCTTTGTGTCTCACTGTTCTGATTCCCCAAAATATAGCTTTTATTAGCGTTGGTAATGCCTCGTCGTGTGCCTTGGCAGAAAACTGTAGGGAACCAATTTCACTCCAAGCTTCACCGCATTTTGGATATGCTTTCACTGCATTTAATAATGCCTGTATTGATTTTTGTCCATTTCCTTCCGCGGAGGACCTCAGCGACGCTGCTAGGTACCTTTGTGGACCAACACCATGCATTTCCGCTCGTCGGAAGTCGGCCAATGCTTCATCCTTTTGACCAATGATACTATATGCTCTTCCACGCCACGTCAAAGCTTCAAAATTATTTGGATGGCTTTGCAAGTGCCGCGTAAAATGAGGAATTGAACCTCCTTTGTTGCAGCTGGCGAATGTTGATAATCCAGCACTAAGACCCGACATGGTATTAAATATGAAGAGAAAGTTAAAATGTATACCTTCCTTATATTTATATTTAGACCCTTGTAATGATCACGATGTTTAAAGAAGATAATAGATGTATGACTTTTATGGAACGCCAAAGGTGACCTATTTAGCGCTCTAACATAAAATTAAAATTGATAACGTGATTAAGTTTTATAATTACATGATGATATTTTGTCACAACATGCTATAGTTACGAGGATACGAAATATTGTTTTTGCATTACTAAATATTATATTGGTATTACTTAATGAGATTTTGATGCTACGTTATATGGTTGTGAGATGACTTTATAAGGTTTTGTCATTACTTAATGATTGATACATTTTAAAATTGAGAATTGATATAGGGAATATGTCAAAGAGACAACAACCCGACCATAGAGCAGAAAACAGCCGAAGGCTATTTTGTTTGATTGATTGATTTGTGTTTAACGCCACTTTCAATACTATTGTGCTATTTCATGATAATCAGTTTTAATTGGTTGAGGACGTTAGAGTGCCCGAAGAGAACCATCGACCTACGGCAGGAAGGCTGAAATCTTAGTCAATTTAGATTGGAGTCGAAAGCACCTGTCACGTGCGGATTCGAACTTTCAACATTAGTGTTCACAGACTTTTGATACGGTAGTTGGACAACTTAGAACACTTGGCCGATCGAATTTGTTATATACAAAGCATAAGTTTAGAGAAACTCATACATTCATTAAGTAATTTACATTGCAATTGAATTTTAATCTGTCGGTTAATCCTCTCCGAATGGTAACTTATAACGTGACTTAATTTAAATATATCAGTTGATGACTAAAAACTTGAAGTCGATTGAGTTTTGAAATATATTGCTGCTTCCATTTGAGCTTTGAAAAAAATAGTGGACAGACCAAGGAGCGGGAATATGTCTGCAAGATGGTGCTTTTATGTACATTTTCTCATGTTTTAACTACCGTTTTGGCAAACAAAATGTCAAAGTCCTGGATCTACTATTGGAAATATAAACACTAACTTAAATCAAATAAATCGCATTCTCACTCGACGTTCAACCCGATCTTGGACTCAAATCGTACTCGAAGCCGTATTACCAATTGACAGATCATCATAACAAAATATAAAAACCTTACGATGCAATGGAACATCTACCTAAAACCACACACACGTTATGAAATGCTAAACCACGTTTTCGACTTGTGTGTTTGAATGTCCCTTTGGTATCTTTCGTCTCTTTTGCCTGATGTTACAACCATATTAAATAATATTAAAGTCATATAAAGTAATAATAAAACAACATTAAGTCATTACACAACCATATCATCTTGTATCAACATTTTATAAAGGAACGACTTTACCATATTGAATAATATCAAAACATTATTAAATAAGCTAAAACCAAATTAACTTATATTGAAACATCATTTAGTTATGTTAACACCATACCATATAATGACAAAAGAAAACAATGGGGAAACATGTAATGTAATTTATCTTACCTCCTTTACATTTCTGGGAATTTGATTGGTTAAAGCAACAGCGTAGAAACCGTGTATATTCCATATTGGGTTAGTAGGCGGAGCTTATTTCAATACACGGTTAGTAGTGGTGTTACATCCCTTTATAAAAACGACAAGGCGTTGAGGAAAAATCTGAAAGGTTTCAACAGACGAAGAAATTAATGATAAACGATTAAAAATAAATTCATAGAACACATTTTAAGCTATTAAGTTGTTATTGTCGGCATTTGTTTTTGAATAGACCAATGGAAGTAGGTTCTTAATACTTACGGTATCAAAGACTTGATCACTTAAATCGGCCACTAGTATAAATAACACATGTTAAGATAGTCGGTAAGATAAATTCGTTACATAGTGTGCTAGTTACCTGATACGATATATATATATGGTAATGAAATTCCTTGTGGGGATAAGGGCATCTCTCTCATCCCATATGGAATTTACTGACCCCATATATATATATATCGTATTAGGTCACTAGCATACTATGAAACTAATATCAATATTTCATTAAGAAGTCACGATACCATATTGAGTTCTATCAAAACAGCATTAAGTAATATTAAAACCACATCACGTATGTAAAAGTGCAACATAATCAGTTTTGGCTTTCCATAACCCTTCCCAAACTAGATTTATCTAAGTAAATATAGCTTGATATGTAAAAAAAAAAATTCAAATAAAACATATCTAGTGGTATGAAATACAAATAACCTTTTGATTTATATAACGTTATCTAACTAAAAGGATAGAGTCGGATTGATTATAAATTTTAACTACTTTCGTTTGCATTAACTTCGAATTTAACCTGGATTTAAAATCGCATTTACAATGAGGTTTCAAAAAAGAATTCAGTTTTACCTTGTGTTTGAAATATTTAATTAAGGTTTTATTCATCATGATCATTTAATGTTGTGACTTTGGAATACAAAAAGGTACCCTGGACTTGCCAATATAGCAGAAAACTACATGCAAAAAGGTTAGTGTATGTTAGCTGAAGGAGGTGTAAATATACTTGACAAATCGATTTCATATGGATAAAATATTTAATTCCATCATGAGGTAGCTGAGTATTTAAACAACATGCTTAGGCAAGAGTCCTCATTGATACAGATTTAATATACGGATGGAGATAGTTCAGGTGCCCTTATGTCTTTATCCGAGTCAACTCTTTCTTTAAAGAATTGTTATGTTCGAAATTAAAAAAAAACTTTAAACACCTGCATAATTATCTTCTTTATTAAAAAAAATGTTTATGTTAAAATCCATTGTCAAGAAAAATATCAATAAATGACTTTTCCGTGAATGGTCTTAATGGATTTAATGTTATAAGCATATTATATTATACTTATAAAAAAAATGACAGTTAGTCACAATGTGTTTTCCATTCAGACCGGACAAGGCACAACTGAAACATTTTTAAAGCAGAGCTTTGTAACCCAGTAAAACAAGACGAATACCATATCTTTATATCTCAAAAAACCAAATTACATTGGTATAGAGATACACACAATAAATATTACATATATGTATATGTGCATACATACAAATTTATACGAAAACAAGAGAGGCAAATATTATAAATCACAGTATACATATTAAACTAAATGATATCAAGTACATGAGTTACCCAGGAGAGCCTACATGCATATTGACTAGTCTTATAAATTTGCGCGAGTTGTTAAGATCAGAAAGATTTTTATTATTCATCAGTTCATTAAATTTCAATGAATTTGGTTGATTTGTATATCTTTTTCTTAATAACTGTTTACGACCATCATTCAATACAGAACATATAAAAATATAATGAAATTCATCTCCGATGTCGCCAGAGTTACAAAGTAAGCATTTTCTATTTTCTCTTGCAACATTTTGCCATCTACCAGTCTCAATAGGTAATCTATGATTTCCTGTTCTTAATCTACATACATTTAATGTTATAATATTTCTATCATCTGAATTTTTAAAATAATATTCAAATTCACAGTTTTCTTTATACTTTTGATAGTTTTAAAGCTTTTGGCGATTCTAGCACGTTAGTGTGCCATTTCTGTTAAAATTGATCAACAAGAGTTTGTTTAACAATAGTATATAGCCATGTATCACTTACGTCTTTGATGACGTTTCATCAAAGACAAACAGCCAAATATTTGAATTTAGTTTTCTGTAAAAGGAAAGAACTTCTTTACAAGTAACAATTTCGCATTTATTTTGCTTATTGAAAATATGAACATTAAGTTTAAAGTGACTTATAGGTCCAACGGGCCGGGTGTAATTTAAAATAATCATTGTCTTATTATTATGTAATATTATTTATACTAATGTACACATGTCACTATAATAAATGATCTACTTACTTACTTACTTACTTACTTACTCACTTACACTTACAAAATATTGGGTATCCAACACAAATGACAAACCAGATTCATCAAGAATGGATTTAACATTTTTTAACCAGGTAATATCATTTTTATATTTATACAATGAGTACTTGTATAGAATTGTAGGAAGTTTTTTCTTGTTTTACAGACAATAATTTTGTCCAGTAGTTAATTATACGGAGTTTTATATCAATGTCCAAAGGATATCTGCCCAATTCGTCATATATCATAAAATTAGGTGTAGAATTTTTAACCTTAAGCAAAAGTTTGCAGAATTTCATATGAACCCTTTCTATAACCGAATTATTACCAAACCCCAGACTTCACTACCATAAATTATTCTCGAGTATCATTATGTACACAAATGTAGAATACTCATATTGAGAAGTTCAAAAAGTCGAGCATGAATAGATATGTTGAGAAAGTTAAATATAACAGATACTAATCTAACAAAACTATTACTATAACACCAGGTTTAATCCAACATTTTTTACATAAGAAAATGCCCGTACCAAGTAAGGATAATGACAGTTGTTTTCCATTCGTTTGATGTGTTTGAGCTTTTGATTTTGCCATCTGATAAAGGATATTTTTGTTTTGAATTTTCCTTGTAGTTTTTGTTATTTTACTTTTTACTAGTATGGCATAAATGATGTAAGTCTGACACACAAAACCAATATCGTGTATGGATCTGCCTTCTCATAGTGTTGTTTTGAAGTGTTCAGTTCCATAAAGGCATTACAGATTCTCAAGCGTATTCCAAGAAATTTATTGTAAACCCCAATTGACTGAATTGTTAAAGTACTCCTATGAATCAGAAATCATAAAACAATCTTTTGAAAGACAACATGAAAAATAAAACTCTAGCAAAATTCTTTATTTTTACTTACAGATATATATATTGAAGTCCACTCATTCGCCCACATTTTTGTTGGAATTGCAATGATCGTGCTTCATTTTTTATTTTTTATTGATATTGACAGATATAGAACTGGTATCAATGACAAGCATGATAATTTGAGAGTTCGTATTGCGCACTTCTCGTTTTCAGCAGTAGCATATCCTCTGTCCCGTTCTAGTCATGGCTTATGGGTCAATATATCTAATGTACATA